ACCCTACCAAAACCCTACTATACCCTCAACCCTAAGCCGTGGCTGCCTGTGACTTGGAGGCTCCGGGTCTTTGGGCCACCGGCTCACTGACACCTGGTTCGGGCTTGGGCTGAGGGCATAGTAGGGTTTAGGGTTTAGGGCTTAGGGTTTTCGGGTTTATAGGGTTTAGGGTTTAGGGTTCGGGCTTGGGCTGAGGGCATAGTCAGTAGGGTGTAGGGTTTAGGGTTTAGGGTTTTCGGGTTTCGGGTTTAGGGTCTTAGGGTTTTAGGGTTTAGGGCTTGGGCTCAGGGCATAATAGGGTTTAGGGCTTAGGGTTTTCGGGTTTATAGGGTTTAGGGTTTAGGGTTTAGGGTTCAGGGTATAGTATAGTGGGGTTTAGGGTATAGTAGGGCTTCGGGTCTAGGGTTATAAGGTTCGGGCTTGTGCTCAGGGCTTGGGGCTCAAGGTTTAGGGTTTAGGGGTTTAGGGCTTTTGGTATCGTAGGGCTTCAGGGGTTTAGGGTTTAGGGTTTAGGGTTCAGGGTAGAGTGGGATTTGGGGTTTAGTGTGTAGTAGGGTTTAGCTAGGGTTATAAGTTATAAGGGGTTGCGGGGTTGCAGGAATCTTGGATGTTCGGCCTCGGTTTAGAATAGCAGCATGCGGTGTGAAAGGCTCGTGCGGGGATGCATATTGGACATGGTGCCTCAGGGCCTCATTGCGAAACGCTAAACCCTAAACCCTAAACCCTAAACCGATTGCTCTAAATAATGGTGGCTTTCGAAAGTTATGCTTCAGCTCAGGACCTTCTAGATTGAGAACCCGACTGAACCCTGGATACCGACTCCCAGACCCTAAACCTGAACCCCTAAAGCCTCGGCCCTTAACATGGAACTCCAAGACGAAGACCACCCCAGCAAGTCCGGAATAAGGTTTGAGAGATATCTGGTTACGTTCGTGTTGGGTGGCACTTGTAAGGGCTCGTTACGGGCTTTTCCTGGCGCCGGAATAAAGGAATAAAGTATCTGTCCAGGCTAAGGATGTTTTCGGCTTGTTCTAGTTGTTGGGGAGAAGGCGGGTTGAACATTGAAAAGAAAGCCACAAATACTGTGATCCTGAACATAATAAGCCCTCTACTTGCAAGGGAAGCGACCCCTCATGTTCTGAATCCCCCCCTTTGTTGGCTTTGGAGGATCTGAGCAAAGCATATCACATCTGTTTGTTCTTGCAGGTTTGATTACATGGCTGGACCCTCGTAGGTGCCATCATGCAGAGCAGCCACTACATCGGGCATTAGACCTTGAAACCAAAGCTCTAAACGGGAAGGGTTGAGTGGTTTGCGTGTGATTAGGTCAGTTGATAGGCTTCCAGGTCACACAGGAAAGCTATAGAGCAGTTACCTTCACTTTAAGAACATCCGATATCCAACTCCTGATGTCCCTCTGAGTGCCACCGCTGGGAATGTTCGGAAGGCTGTTGTTTCGCCGTATCCTGTGGCTCCCACTTCACATTCGGAGGCGAGATGTTGTTGCTGGGCTTATTGCACTAACCCATAGGGTCCATGTACCCAAACGGTAGATACTTGGCCTGAAAGGCCCCCAAGTAGGGACTACTTTAAGGCCAGAGTATCTACTATTTGGGTACATGGACCCTTAGGGTAAGCGGCTCAGGTGCAGGGGCCTAGGTTTCTGTAAGAGGTTGCGTGATCGACTGGACGACTGCTTGAGCCTTGCAGTTTGCGAAGCATCGCGTCCCGTTGCCTGAACTCCCATAATCGAAGGGTTTAGGGTTCAGGGTTTTGGGGTTTAGGGTTTAGGGGTTTAGGGTTTGGGGTTTAGAAGCTTCACCTACGGTTCAGGGCTTCGGAATTAGGTTTCAGGAAACACCGATGAGCAGCTCTGGTGCCGAACTCTCGAACCCGGAGTATCAGAGCCTGCCCGTTCTTAAACGTCACTGCAGCCTTTGGACTAAAAAGAGAGCCAATGAAACTGCGGCTTTGTGAACGTAAGCCCTGACACTGTCTACGAGTTCAAAGGTTGATCTAAAGATCTCGTCGTCTAAACTCAATCCCTCTGGTCAGCGCTGCACGGCTGTATGCAGCATGATGCATGATGTTTACACACCCAGACACATGCATACGCAGACATGTATATGCCTATATATAATGAATAAGCTGGGTATTTGTTGATATGCCCATACATGCAAACATAAATGCAGGTATGCACGCGTACCTGCACACGTACATGCATGAATACACGAATCATACACCTGTACGTCCATACGTACAGACATACATGCATACGTGCATACATACACTGGTACAATATGACATAATCTTCATGTCCACACATGTCAACAGTAAGCATGTATGCATCATGCATGCAGTCCTGCTTGGGTTACTTGGGTGCAAGCAGACCTGAATTAGACCCCAAGAATCCCAATACCCCAGGCTAGAGAACAATCCCCAAGAACCTTCAACGCTAACCGTACAAACCGCAAACCCCGAAACCCCAGGCCGTAACTTCAACTTCGAAACCCTGAACCCCAAACTCCCCAAACCCAAAACCTTAAACCCCCAACGCCCCAAAGACCTAAACCCAAAACCCCCAACGCGCCAAAAGCCCAGAACCCAAAACACCAAACGCCCCAAAAACCCAGAAAGGAGCTCCGGTCCTTTCTTCCAAGGCCTGGCATTGGGAAACGTCGGGCTTCGAGGAAGTCCTGCGCTTGACGCCCATCGCTTTCTTGACTTGGGCGGTTCCGGGTTTAGGGTTTAGGGTGTGCGCTGGGGTCGCTCGCGCCTCTTCACGGGGCAGCTACCCATGCTTCTTTCACGCTGCCCCTCCCCATTGCGCTCGCTCTGCGTAGCTAGTATTCCCACCCCAGCCGCCCAAACCTTGACCTTGGCGGG